TTATCAGTGCACAGCAGCATGATTCCCTCTGTAGCTGTTACCTGTTTAACAAACACCTGCACATGAATAATTATAGGTTTCTGTGTCCTGCTCAGAGGCACAGGATCATTTCTACTGGCACAATACTCACATTATCTGCATTTATATTTATTGATTCTGGTTGTGAATTCGTTACTGAATAACCCAGAATATGATGTCTTGGGATTTATTAAGCTAAAGGTTTAAGGGAAATTGAAATGATGTTACTCTAAGTCGATGCTCAGTTTTAGGCTTTCCGTTTATTTTCTCTTCTGATATCCTTTAACACTAGCCTACTGTATAGGCTACATTGAATTTATGCAAGTCACATCACTTGTCACTGATCGATCACTTCGTTCAATCATAGCAATCCGAGACTGTTTTTTAGCGCATCGGCTTTCATTAATTGCCTACCTTCATCAGCTGATTTTACTCGCAGCGCCACCAGCTACTTTCATCAGATGCAGTAGGTGAGATCAGCTGGATGAGCAGTTTATTAGGGGTCCAAGCCCGAGTGGGCTGGGAACCGTTCCCAGTACCAGCAGAGCTGGGAACCCTATTGGAATCATATTCGTTTTTATTTTCATTCTTCTTGAACAAAACTGATACTGCAGCCTACACAGTAAGTGTTACTGACGCGAAACTCACAAGGTAGGTCCAGTTCTTGTCGATGACCTCAGGCGCAAAAATTCGCACGCTTCTACCTCTAGGGGGCGCTATAAGCAAGGTCAATGCACTTGGGCTTGGAACTCCCACTCACAAAGGCGTATATCAAAAACCTTACATTCACGCGTTCGGGGGATCGAGCTGAATCTCCTGGTATAGGCCACACCCATTTCCGCCTAAACTCGCTACATCGCGAAAACTGTAAAACCTATTTTAATTAACTCCTCCGAAGCCACAAGTCCGATCGACACCAAACTTGGTATTGATAATCTCTGGACCAAGCTGATGAAGTTTGTAGAGGAAATTTTGATTCCACAAAAAATGTCCCTTTTAGAAGCTAACAAATATTTGCAAATACACTAAAAACAGGAAGTATATAATATCTCAGGCTTGGAAAGGCCGATCAACACATAACTTGAGAACCTTATGTGCCATGCCCCCCTGAGGGGCTGTGCAAAATTTGGTACAGTTAGCCCCTAGTTGGCGCTATTCCAAAAAATCCCTGACTTACATGCATTTTATATCTCCACAACCACAACTCTGATTGATACCAAATTTGAATTGTTCCCCATGGGCCCCTGATCACACCTGAACATTTTGGTGCAATTCGGCCAAACAGTGGTGCTATAATGGAAGCTCAAATACCGTCACACAATCCCATTCATTTCAATGGGGTTTTCAACCAAAGGACATTTTGCCTCATAACTACGGCCCACTGCATCGCACATTCATAAACCTTATGTCTGCGTGTTTGGGGGATGCTGCTGATTCCTATGGTATAGAACACGCTCTCTGCGCTGACGTTTTCATTTCGCTAAATCGCGAAAAACAGAAAACCTGTTTTAATTAATTCCTCCAATGCCACAAATCCGACCGGCACGAAACTTGGCACGGACCATTTCTGGACCGAGCCGAAGAAAGTTTGTAGAATTTTGATCTGCCAAAAAACAGAATGTCATGTCAAATTTTACCTTTTTCAATGGACAATCTACACCCAACTCAGGGACCTTATCTGGCAAATAATTCTCGCCTCTAGGTGGCGCTATTAATTGGAAATCAAATATCACTCCCATACACATACATTAATTTCAGATCTCCGTTACCGAAAGCCCCTTTCATTTATAACTCATATAAGTCATTTATTCTCCCCAGGCGCCGGGAGGCTTACAAATGCTTGCAGTCCTAGTTTTCCTTTGCTTGCTTCATTAGAGTCTTAAGTGCAGTTTAGTGACTTGTCCGACACCTAACTTGTTTACTATGTTTTATAGTCGTCTATTTGGACTAAATGACAAGCCTCACAGGTGACTGAATAGACATGACCATAAAATTATGTAAAACATGTTTCTTGCTGACAGACTCTCTCTGACTTTAATTTTCTCCATAAAAAGTTGACAGAACAAATGAAATCTTGAAAATGAAAATCTTTCTAATAGGCTAAATGAAGAAAGTTGCATGGGGCTTTTGTTGTTAAGACCTACAATGAACTCAGGTTTTAACTAGACAGTGAATCATAAAACCAATCAAATATAGCCTAACTCTTTGCAGTGATGCACTTGAGTTTAATGTTATCTGTCATGATGCACCAGATCAGTCTGATAAGCTGCCGCGTCTAATCAACATAATGTCTACCCAGTAAGGGGCATGTCGGTCAGTAAAAGACTTCCATGAAGGATGCACTGGTGTATCCTCGCTCCTCGGAGCGCAAATAAGAGCTTTGGAACAGCCTGCAAGATGGCGGAGCGAGACAACTTCCGGTTCAAGCAAGGAGCGAGGAGCGAGGAAACGACAAATAAGAGACTTGACAAGCACCCACAGACGGCATACGCAAACTTCCGGTCTCCGGGCCGACGCCAGTATGGAAGACCAAAAACCTGCAATTAATCGGTGGCCACTTGAGTGTGGCTGCAGAACCCCATTTTAAAATGCCCAACTTTACAGCAGAATAAAACATATTTACAGCCTGATTCAAAAAATGTTTTTAGTGTTAAATTATATTAAGCCTTTAAGTTCTGCATTATTAGGGGCATGGTTGCTTTGATTGACAGCTGGCTCTGGCCGCTGTCACTCCTAGCCAAGTGACCGCCGTCTGTTAGCCTCACTCGGCTAATACACGGAGCTCTGAGGCCTGTTGGAGCCGTCTGGACATTTCTACATGCAGATACTGGATGGACAATGGCAGGTTGTTTGGTTTATTGGAGAGAGAACCTCCAGGAAGTCCGTGCTCCAGTTGGTGAGTGAAATTCTTGTATTTTATTTATGTGTGTTAATATTTTATGCTGTCGACATATAGAAGTGTTTCTGTGCAACGTCATCACTGAGATGCGAGTGCAACTAGGTTGCAGAAAGCAGCACTCTGCCTTTGCGGCAAATCAGTTTATACGGCATATCTAGCAGCAGTGTTGGGGAAATTACTAAGAAACTGTAATGACGTACTTTTTACTTATTACTCATTACTCATTTAAAAAGTAATAACATTACCTTACTTATTATTTATTACTGGGTATTAAAAGTAAATAGTTACTCGTTCCGTTACAATAACTTTCAATCACCACGCCCCATCCTTAAGTGACGGGAAACCTGTTCAGCAGCGCATTTTAGAAATTAATCCACTTTCCTGGAAAAATAATTAACCAGAGCAGTCAACAACCAGCCGAAATGAAAATACTGCAGCCTCTCAGACCAGAGGATGCTGTATCATATAGGCATATAGACTATGGACATAGGCTATTTAAATATAATAAAAACAAAGTAGGTCCCTCCTGAAACTTTAACTGATTGTGTATTCATAACAGCAGCAATGAGTATGATTTTTATGAAGCATATAACGTTTTTTAACGCCACTGTCTGAGATAAAAAAAATCAAGCAAGCGCCTCGCTTTTTAACTAAAGTTAGTGTTTGCACATGTATTATAATAGAAGTATTCAGTGCTTTCACAAAACATACAATGTTGATTGATGCCACTCTGTCCTGCCGAGTGGCTCACTGGCAGTAGCTGCCGGAGTTTCTTTCTACAGGCTAACTTTCATGTTTCTTAGCAGATGCTTCAATACAAAATTGTTTGCGATTGAAAGCTTTTGGCTGGTCTCACAACGTTTACGGAAGACCATGTCCTTTTATCTCTGAGTGTGACATAGCTAAGTTAGGACAAATGGAAGTACTTACAGCTGTGGAAAGAACACCTCTCTCCCTCGTTCTTCCTTTAGCTTTTAGGCTAGCAGCTGACTTAAGCAACATTACGTCCGGTTTCGCTGACCTGCAGTGCGGTCGTGCATGTTCTATTAATATGCGAAATGAAACACAAACAAACAGATCCAACTCTGAAATGACAGTTTATTATTAAGTCAACAAGAATTTACAAACAATGCGTAATCTGCGTTGATTACGGTGGTTGACAGTCTTCTGACTGGCTACCGAAACGCTTTTTCCCCCTGGCTACGTGCGCACCCAGTAGTGTTTGTATACAAGAAACCCATCTTATAGACCTTGTTAGCGTAGTTCGTTACGCTAATTGGCCAGATATGAGCAGCCCCAAGCTGCTAACGATGCTAAGTTAACGGGAATTAGTCTGTTCTAACCGCTGCTTTTAAGGAGTCAAAGACAAGTCATCAAAAGGAGAGAAGCCAAAATGTATTCAATTAACCTTATCATCCTCAGACCCATGGGCAAGGAAAGAGCCCGAGAGTAATCACCTGTGATCGGAAGGAGCTGGCCAGCAGAGCTGCCATCACCCTGCATCCGGAGACACGACGGAGCCACAGGGAGGGCAGCCAGACCACTGACCCTCTTGGCC